GGCAAATTTAAAATTTGACTGAAAGTTCTCTAGACAAAATTGAAATTCTAACTCTGACTAAATATAAGTAGGCAAAATTATAATTTAACATTATTTTTATGGAATGTTGGGTTTAATCTTAACGTTAAGATTAAACCCAACATTCCATGAAAATAATGTTAAATTATAATTTTGCCTACTTATATTTAGTCAGAGTTAGTATTGGGTTATTGTTCAAGCAAAAACTCATTCTGTGTATGTTGTAGTTTAAAAGCCCCAACAACGACAACTGTTTTGATTTTCAGGAAATTTGATTTTTGCTAAAAAGAAATCGATTTTTGATTTTGAGATAAACACACGATTGAGTCATACACATCAACCATCTTAAGAATCTGTAAAAACGAGATGTTGATATCAAAGCTATTTAACTTGTATGATTTTCTAGACGTGTGTTTTGTTGGCGAGATGTTGCTAGTCTCTTGATAGTTTTGTATCGACGTTTTCTTTTTAAGCCACGAACTTGACACATCTTTTTCTTATAAAAAAAAGTTAAAACTTTTCCGGAAAAGCGAGTGTGCTTCTGTTCCGTGCATACTGAAATTTTATTAATACATGTTTAGATTCTTGTAGTTATTGTTGTGATAACTGTTTTTTTTATTAAAATATAAAAATACGATGTAATAAACAGCAGATGGCTACAATTACTTGTAAACAATGAATATTTTATATCTACAGACATCCTTTTGTTTTGAATTGTCTGAAAACATACACATGTTCAGTGTTTTTTAAAGGTTAAATCGGCTATGTTTCACATTGACACGTATAACAGTAACAGTATTTCTGTATGTCAAAAACCAGTTGTGATCATTGTATTTTTTCCAGTTCTTTGAAGATGAATGTATCTGATATTGTTCCCTAGACGAATTATTTTTTCGAATTTTGATAAGAATCTTATTACTTTCTTACAAGATTCTTATCTAAGAAGCCGTACACGAAAGTAGCAAGAATTTAGTAAGAGTCTTATAAGAACCAGTTGAGAATATAATAAGAAACCAGTAAGAAAGTGTTAAGAGTCATATAATATCCTTCTTAGGAGTGCTACTTTCCTTTTACTAATTATCACTTTATCCGGTGAAAGTAATAAGCTGTTGTTATTTCTCGTAAAAGCGTCATAAGAAGAGACGGCTGCTACTTATCAAAATTAAGTTTTCCTGATGATTCTACATAATAGTGTACTTAATCAAGGTTCTGAATGCTGTTATTTGTAATATTGTTATTATACTTCATTTTTTGTCATTAATACTAAAGATGGGAAATTCAATCTCAGGATACATACTTATCAATGTCCTTAATCTCATAGTAAGTTTGATAATATTGATTGATAGAATAATAATAATCAACACGATTAACAATATAAGATTAATAACGTAATTATGAATCAATAATGTGAATAAAGGTAACATGTATACAATTGATTCTGTATTAAATAATGATGGAGATTGATTAATTAATTGTTTATAATGGATATTCAATGTATAACTACATGTGACGAATGATAATACACATCTATAAAATACAATATGTATTAAACAGTCATTTGTATATTTATAGTTAGCAATGATAATATAAATGCATATCGATATTGATGGAGATAAGAATATTATTGCAATTAATTTAACGGAAAATATCGATGGTTTTGTAATTAAATATATCTGTTCTATAAAATATATAATATAAGCTAAAGTTACTGTTACCGATAATGTTGCTAATATAATTTGATAATTTATATTATAGAATATATTTACATCATATAAAATCACGGATAAAGATAATAATAATACATAAACATATTTCCAAATAAGTATAGCATATGATTCTATAAGTATACCAGTACAATAATATGACTAATTGCGTTAATCTATATTTAGATGAACTGGATATAATTTTATTATAATTAAATCAGCTATAGCTAGATTTAGTACTTCACACCAATGATCCCAATAATGTCTAGCTAGAGATTGTGTAGCATTTCGTCTGGCTTGCTTACCATCAATTATATATATCCCATATTGTACTATTAACCATAATATATAATAATACCGATATAATTGTGATGATGTATATATTAGCATGAATAGTGTAACATTTAATACGAGTCCTGGTAGAGGTATAATTGTTGGTGATAATCTATAAGGTAAACACTTATTTGTAAATAAATCAGACAAATATATTACTGTTTTTATTATACGATCATGATCTAATCTTTTATATGATTCATTTTTATCTAATATTATAATACTTGGGTTTATAATAATGCCAAATATTTGATAATACAATAATGAAAATATCGATATATTAGTACTATTTCCCTGATAATTAGTCTTATTATCATTAACATTATTACTTGATTCTAATGGAATAAGAGAACTGTTTTCGTCCATTTCGCTTATTCTTATCAATATTTTAAACGTAAAAAAGACTAGTGAACTTAATTTCAATATATTATACAATTAATCTATCTAAAAGTAAACAAGTAATTTTATTATAAGTAAAATCATTCCGCATGAAGCACCATGTATTTTCGAACTATTGTATTCTCTTCTACGCCTTGTGCTAATTCAACTCCGTTGTATTGTCTTACCTCCTTGGTTTAACAGTAAAGTACAAATACCCGAGACAATCATAACACTACTATCACACACTTCTGGTCTTCACATGTTTATTTTATTTTCTCTTCAGTCGCGTTCTTGATTATGTGCTTGTTTCTTTTTTTATACCTGTTTGTTCGCATAAAATCGTTACTTGTACTATAGACACATTTAAATTCTTCGTACAGATAGACATTTCCATTCACATTTAGACGGATGTTTTCTACGGAATGGCTATTGGCACTCTCGGAAGGGCCAACAAGAAGCTATTGGCACTTCTAGGAAATGCCACTATACTGCAAAATAAAAGATTAAACTGACGTCCTCAGAGAATATCTTAGTGACTGCTCTCTGAGGATGTCAATACCTCCTGTTGACACTCTGGAGTAGGACTATAAAACTTCTCGTTACTTCTTCGGCCGTTATCGGTAACGTTAAATGGAAAAAGTTACCGATATTTTAACGGTAACTGTATTTTCAGTTAGCGTTAAACCAACGGTAACTGAAACGATCGTTACCGTTGCTTCAATAAAATAATTCAAACAATAATGTTTCTAGGGTTTTACTGTACTTAAGAACATTTTCTTTCAAGAAATTGTTTGATTATTATGCGTTTAACTAAAACCTTTTTAACACATGTATTGCGGAAGATAAATACGCAAACTTTTACTCAATGTTCTTGTTGAAGTATAAAACATCAGTTTGGATAAATGTATCGCTGAAGGCTAACTTCTTCTTCTTCTTTTCTTTCGCTAGATATAGTCACAAGAAAGAGTACAAAAACGACGAGAAGAATGCCGTAGTACATACATTATCCGACGGCATAATTTATTTTCTAATTCATAATTCTTGTGCGATGGTTTTTTTCTTTTCTTATGTAACGTATAATCCTATTTCACTTACGCCAGTCTAAAGTGAAGTCAGTATAATTCAGATTACACTAAAGCGTATCTACATCATGGTTTGTAACACAAGATCGGCTGCAAACAGATAAGCCAGTAGACCTACGAAACCTCGTTCAGCATCTATTTTAGTTATTCAGTTGCCTAGCGAGGCAGTACTTTTGGATTTGGACAGAAGTTCATTCGTTGGATAAGGCTAATGTACACCGGTGCCACTTTTCGAATCAAAATAAATGATTCGATAACACAACCAATGAATTTCGAGTCTGGAGTGCGACAAGGTTGC